TGACATGTTGGTCGGATTTTGATTAGTAGGGACATATGATCACTAATGGGGGCTTCTACTGATATTGCTCTAGCTTCTCGAAAATTATCCCACCAAACATCGTTAACCAAAATCCGGTCTAGTTTTTCCTCGACCCAGTTCGGTGTGCCTTTGCCTCGTTCCCACGTCCACTGGTACCCATCAAAAGGTAAATCTCTCAACCCGCTGGCCAATATCGTTTCCTTGAAGCCACAGAGTCTCCACGGAGGGTGAGGTATTCGTCCTTTTTTCTCAGAATTGTATAAAATATCATTCATGTTTCCCATGATCATCCACGCAAGTATATTGTTTTCGGCCAATCGCTGCAGCATCTCCCACGCCGCTCGCCGTCTAACTCTCCCCGGGAAGGCATAATAGCCCGTAAACCTCCATGTAGCACCTCCCTCAGGATTACAGATTTGACAGTCCATAAAATTAGCATTGGCCTCCACCACCGTGACATCGTTCCATCCCAATACAATGCCCCCTCCTTGTCTGTCCGCATCGATTCCTTCGCTATTCACAAAACCAACGATCGAAGTATATCTGTGGCTCGTCAATAACGCAATTACGTTTTCATCAGAAAAAAATAATGGATGGTCTATTCTGATGAACTAGGTCCATCAAGCATTGCATTGTCGTCAAATTACCCAACCCACGACGATTCCACGGTAGAATACTCATGATTCTTCCCTATCAAAACCCTTCGTACTGTCCGAAGTTGCTGCCTAAATAACCACGAACCTTCTCGGCGCCGTACCTGCTTAAGCGAGGTACCACCGGACAGAAAAACTAGGCATTGCCTGCGGCGGCGGCAACCCTAGAAGGAATTAACGCTCATATAACTTTTAATTCCCCCTTTCATATTTTAATTCAATGTTTTAACAATTAGCGCACATGATGTCTTCTTTGGTAATAATTGTAAATTCAAATGAACTCTTTTCGTATTTGTTGTAAAACAATTGAAAAAATGCCGCAATTTTAATTATGGTCTTTGATTAATTACAATATGAAAAGCATAGTTTAAAAATTTGTTAATAATGGTGAGAATAACAAGAGGCATATCAATACGACAACACAAAGCTATTCGGGTGTTTGACATAAAACTGACCTGTCCCTCAGGACCCGTCAAGTTCGCTAACCTCACATCATAGATTAGTAGGCTAAACTAAACTAACAACATCGTTAAACATGCTACTAAAAGGAAAAGAAAAAAAAACAAAAGTTATCAAAATGAAAACAACGAATGGAATTAAAACTCTTTGTTTTTCAACCACCGATAAGGAGAAGAGGTTTTATCAGCCATCTCCAAAGACGTCATTCAAATTTTATCGGCCATCGAGAAGGGAGAAAGGTTTGTCAAGCTATCTCCAAGGGAAGCATCCCGCTCACCAGATCTAAAAGAATTTCAGACAGTGTTGATCCAGTAGCTCCGCCGCAGAGCCATTTTTGGTCTGTTTCCATCAACCTCCATAGTGACCTTGAACACTTGAACCGTGGCTAGGCTCCCTAACCCGCGGCAGTTCCAACTCACACAGCTCATTCAAGCAATCACCAAAGCTAGTGGGGCAGAAACACCCTACAACCGAGAGGAACAAGATGTGAAATAATGGAACAGGATACTCTCTAGAAGTCCTGGCAGATATATTTATAATAAAGAAGAGTTTAATGTAAAGTACAATACTGATCCTATAATAATTCTAATACACCCCCTCAAGCTGTGCAGGAGATACAACGCGCAGGTTGTCTTTTAAAAAATGAAAATGCTGACTAGGAAGACTTTTTGTAAATATATCTGCCAACTGTAAATGAGTAGGAACATGTTGGACAATCAAATCTCCATGATCAACACGTTCACGAACAAAGTGGTAGTCAATCTGTATGTGTTTACTTCGGGCATGCTGAATAGGATTAGCAGTGAAATAGGAAGCTGAGACGTTATCACATAATAGATGGACAGGTTCGGTTATGGGAAAACCGAGCTCAAATAAAACTGTTCGAATGTCCAACGTATCCTGAACGGTATAGGCAATGGCGCGATACTCTGCTTCTGTAGACGATTTGGACACAGTGGGTTGCTTTTTCGATTTCCAGGAGATGAGATTAGGACCCATAAATACCGCAAAACCTGTGGTTGATCGGGAGGAGTCCGGACATCCTGCCTGATCTGCATCTGAATAAGCTAGAACACACGTGGGTTTTGCAGATCGCTGAAGCCATAAACCATGGTCTCGAGTGCCCTGCAAGTACCTGAAAATTCTCTTGACTGCAAAAAGGTGAGTAGTGCGGGGAGCATGCATAAACTGAGACACCAAGTGTACTGCATAAGTAATATCCGGTCATGTCAAAGTTAAATATTGTAGCGCACCTACCATGCTTCGATATTCAGTGGAATCTGAAAGCAACTCACCATCAGACAGGGATAACATGGTGCGAGACGCTAAAGGAGTGCGAACGGGTTTAACAATATGGAGATGAAAGCGATTAAGAAGATCAGAAACATATTTAGACTGAGAAAGAAACAAACCATTACCAGACCTATGGGACTCGATGCCCAAGAAATAATGTAAATCACCCAGATCCTTCATGGCAAAATGATTAGAAATAATAGAGATAAACTTGGTAATGGCTGATGGAGAATTACCAGTAATAATAATATCATCTACATATAATAATAAATAAATGATAGAATTATTATGGCGATAAATAAATACCGAATTATCAGATTTACTGCAGCAAAAACCCTGCTGAAGAAGAAAACTACTAAATCTATGAAACCATGCTCGTGGTGCTTGCTTAAGACCATAAATGGCCTTTCGCAAACGACAAATGTGATTAGGAAATTGCGGATGTATAAAACCACGGGGTTGACGCATATAGACTTCTTCAATAAGATAGCCATGTAAGAAAGCATTTTTAACATCAAGTTGGCGAATTACCCAGCCAAAAGAAACAGCAAGAGTGAGAACAATGCGAACTGTGGTGGGTTTTATGACAGGACTAAAAGTTTCAGAGAAATCAATCACAGCCTGTTGATTAAAAGCTCGAGCAACTAATCTAGCTTTATGGCGCTCAACGGACCCATCAGAATGATATTTAGTTTTATAAATCCACTTACAACCAACTATATTCTTAGAATTGTCAAAGGGCACCAGATCTCAATTATTATTATTATTAATGAGAGCATTAAATTCATCGGCCATAGCCTCACGCCATTTGGTCTGTTTATTAGCCTCAGTAAAGCACGTAGGGTCTGCTGAATTAACAACTGCACTTAAATTAAAAATGGTTTTGGGTTTAAAAATTCCCGTCTTAGCACGGGTTTGCATGGGATGCATGTTGACCATCGGGGGCGGAGTAGAGACGTTGACTTCCGAGTTATGAGAGGCAGTTGAATGACTATCGGGGAAGGTGGGAGTGCTCGGATGGGTTTGTTCCGAGCTGACCGGGGATGGTGGATGACTAGGGACAGAGGACCATGGTGATACCGAGGGAGAAGAGGAGGCCGGACTGGCCGCGGCTAACGGAAGAGGACGGGTAGGGGAAGGCGCAGAAGGACTGGAGAGGTTATCTGGGATGCAGGATGCCGAAGGAGAGTAGGATGGGCTGGAGACTAAGGAGATAGGGCGGGGTTCAGTAGCGGGTATGGAGCTAGGCAGGGTAGGAGAGCGGGTCATGGAGATGGTTTTAAATGGGTAAGTATCCTCATGGAACCTAACATGACGGCTGACATAAACACGACCAGAGAGAAGATCAAGACAACGGTAGCCTTTATACCCAGATGCATAGCCAATAAAAACACACTGGACAGATCGGGGAGATAAATTGTTGGCTGAGGTGGCGGAAAAATTCGGGTAACAGGCCGAGCCAAAGACTCTCATGAATGAATAATCGGGAATTCGATGAAATAATATTTGGTAGGGTGATTGGCCATTTAAAATAGGAGTGGGCAATCTGTTAATAATATATGCAGCAGTAAAAATTGCATCAACCCAGAATGTACTCAGTACCGAAGCTTCAAGAAGCATGTTTCGAGTTAATTCAAGGAGATGACGATGCTTTCGTTCAGCAACCCCATTTTGTTGGGGCGTGTCAGGACAAGATTTTGAAAATAAATACCATTGGAAGAAAACAATTGCTGCATATTATGATTAACAAATTCCCCACCACCATCACTTTGAAAAATTTTAATTTTCTAATTAAAAAGATTTTCAACCAAAACTTTAAAATTTTTAAAATGCGTAAAAACTTCACTTTTGTGATGCATGGGATAGATCCAGGTAAAGCGAGAATAGTAATCAATGAACAAAACATAATACATCAGAATGAATAATTTGTAATGGAAGAAAAGAATTATGACTAGCATCCATAAAGGGCAAACGTTGTGATTTTCCTAGTCTACAAGCAACACACTTATGAGTAAAAGAAGAATGACTACATAAACATTGTTTTCTTTTAAGAAACTGCAAAACACTGTCACCACAATGACCTAAACTACGATGCCACACAGGGCCAGAAGCTAAAACAGAAGCGAGAACTAATGAGAATGATGACGGCAGACGGAGAGGATATAGTGGGCCGTGACTATTGGCACGCAGAAGCACCGCCCCCGAGACTTTGTCCTTAATAAAAAATGAATTTTTATCAAAAATAACAATACAATTGTTATCAACACATAATCTTTGAATTGAAATTAAATTATACTTTAATTGAGGCAAATGATAAACAAAGTTTAATGTGAGAGCACGACCAGATGAAGGTAAAGCAACATCACCAACATGTTGTATGGGTAAATGGGCACCATTAGCAACACTTAGAGAATTATAGCCATTATAAATAGATTTATTAATTAAATTACCTTCGGATGCAGTCATATGAGCAGAAGCTCCCGAGTCAGGATACCATAAAGTCGAATTAGATTCACCAGATGTAGTCAACAAGGCAAGATTGGTAGGCTGGGCAAAACGAGATGGACAAGCAATAGCGGAATGACCTGTAGAGAAACAAATTTGACAGAAAACGGGATGGGGAACTGCCCCAAGAATACCCCCATCTGAGGAAGAGCCTGCAGAGCCAAAGTTGGAAGCACAAACAGGTAAAACATTAGGTAGATTCTATGGTACCCATAAGGTACCATACCTTTGTCCACATGGACCAATGGAAATGTAGCAGTTGAATTATTTAAATCTAAATTAAAAATGATAAAGTGATGTGGTCCAATTAAATGAAGGATAGGTACGGTACCCCATTTTTTAGAAAGGTACCGGAGTTGTCACCAAAGCATTAATATTTAAATGTGACACGGTGGAATTACAAAAAACAGTACCCATATGTGGCCCAGCTGAGGAACCACCCCCTGCCGCCAAACCACTTCTGGCAGCTGCAGCCATCGGCAGTGGACCGTAGTGAGGATACCAAATCACTGGCTGACCATAGGGCGGCGGTTGCTGTCCACGGCCGCGTCCACGAGCTCCACGACCTCTGCCTCCCCATGCCCGACCGCCACGCCCGCGCTGATTATAACCTTGAGGACGATGCTGCTGGTGGCCACCCGCAACCTGCTGCGGACCATGCTGCGGAAACCGAGCACCGAAAGCTTGATGGGCTAGGGGATTCGCCTGGGACCGAAGGTGGTTGACACTTTGCTCTTGTTCTAGGAGATGATTTCGGAGTGCCTCAAATGGAAAATTTTGAGGAAAGAGAGACACTGTTGTGAACAAGGACTCATACTCAGAGCCAAGTCCCATAATAATGGTTTTGAGCAGGTCACGTGGAGAGACGGGGCAATTAATAGTTGCAAGGTCATCAGCCAGAGTTTTGATTTCGTGGAGATAAGCATCCATGGATTGTTCAGGTTTCTTTTTAATTTGTGAGAATACACGCTATAATTCCATTGACCGGGCCAAACTGGCAGACATGAATCGAGATTCTAAACGCTCCCAAATTTGAAAAGAATGTTTGAGATCACGAACATCAATAAGAATATCTCGAGAAAGGGTTGCAAATAACCCAGACCTGATGGTTTGATCAATTCGCAACCAGACAGAGTATTCAGGATTGGGAGACTGACGGTTTAGAATATCAATGGAATAAACGGAAGGTACCTGAAGAGAACCATCGACCATGCCCAGAAGTCCTTGGGAGATAAGAAAAGACTCAAACGGAGTCCGCCACATGGTATAATCTTCCACAACCAGGAGATTTGTAGTAACAATATTGGTGACATTAGTAGTCACATGAGATATAGTCTGAGCAAGATCAAATAGAGGTGAGGCACCCGTGGGTGGTGCTGCTGACCGAAGAGGTTGAGCCACGGTAGAGACTCCTGGCGAGCCAACAAGTGTAGGGCCGGAGAAGGAGGTCGTCGAGAAGGGAGATGGTTCCAAGGGGACGGACTGCACTGTCGAGGGAGGTTGCTGAGGGAAAGTCGGTGGCATATGTTGGAAGAGGGAGTAGGGGATGTTGCGACTTGGGGAGATGTAGTGGGAGGGAAAGGTGACGCCGGACTCGGGTGGAGTCTGAGTCGGCGGTACAACAACAGAGGAAGCCAAGATCTGAACGCCAGCCATGGCGGAAGAGACCACCGAAGAAGATACAGCGGCGGTGGTGGGAGCCGAAGAACTCATGACGGCGGTTTAGGGTAGCCGAGAGAGAGAAGAGAGAAAAAAAATTAGGGTTTATTCTGTGCTCTTGATACCATGTAAAATAATGGAACATGATACTCTCTAGGAGTCCTGACAGATATATTTATAATAAAGAAGAGTTTAACATAAAGTACAATACTGATCCTATAATAATTCTATAACAAGAACGTCAAATATGCCAGCTTGAATTGCTCATGAATTGCAGCTTATGAGCTTGGGTTGCGATCGAAACTAATCCCCGTGCTATGCCTCGAGCAAAGCCTACGAAATTCACTGTCCTTTTCACGAAGTCCTGCTGCTTCGGTGATGTCGGCGACCTCGGATAGGATCCAGCGGCGCCCTTTGTTTCTTTCGTCAGGGTTCATGGCTCCCATTTGGCAGGGTGTGGTCTTTTTAGGAATTGGATTTAATGGGGGATAGCTGGAAAAGGGAGTTGTTATTTCTTGTTATTTTTCATTTAAAACAATGAACTGCCTTTATGCTATCCCACTAAATTTTCCTAAAATTCTAGATATGAATAATTATTTTTATTTTAAAAGAAACCTTATATAATTAAGCTTCCCAATATAACTTAGAGAGAATTCCCCAAATAAGAGTATAACATAGACAAAATACAAAAATAGGAGTACCATATTTTGAATAGGAGTAACTTTAGTGTTCAAACAAGTATACCCCTACCCAAGCCCCAACAATTTTCATTAATAATTAAAACATAAAATGAATAACATTAAATAAATTATATTAAAATTGTAAAAAAAATAAAAAAACACAAAAATAAATACTACATATTAAATAAAATATACTCCGTATTCAATAAAATTAATAAAAATAAAAGAAATATTAATATAAAAAAATATTTAAAAAAGAAAGAAAAAAAAATTAAAAAATATAAAAAAATATGTAGGCATCTGTCGTTGGCTCAACAACCTTCCAGCACCACCAGCTCCGACCACCGAATAAATGCCAACATTTGTCCGAATTGCCATCATGATGTAGTTTTCGAGAAAATTTGGCATTTTCAAACAGTAAAACTGTCATCTTTATGACATTTTCAAAGAAAAATAGCAGTTTTAACATAAAATGACATTTTTTTAGCCGATCGGAGGTGACATTGTTGGGTGATGGTTGAGGCCTGCATAATTTTTTTTTAATTTTTTAATGTGGTTTATCTATTTTTGTATTTATTTTGAAGTTTTTTGTTTTTATTTAAACAATAAAAAAATTTATTATTTTAATATATATTTTAAAATATTTTAGAATTTTCATATTTTAATAGGATCAAATAAGTCATATTTTAGAATTAATTATGTTAGGGTATTAAGGGTAGAAAATTATTTTTATGTTTACTCCCATGTTGGACAATTTCTATATAACTTACAAGCACTTTGTTCACTACCGATTTTTTATGACAAAAAGGTCATTCCATAAGGCAAAAGTAAAGAAAAAATCTCACTTTTGGTCTCATGACTATTATACTACTTACACATTTAATTCCTTACTTATAAATTGTCCACATTTAGTCCGTGATCATTATCTCCTCACCACCCCTCATATTTCTGGCCAAAATTACGGCAGATTTAGTCCACTTATCAACCTCAAAATCAGTCTTTGCATTAAATTTTATATATAATGTTGACTTTTTCATATTAGTCTTTGCATTAAATTTGATTTTTCATACCTAAAATTTGAATTAAATTTACCGGAATTTCAGCTGGAAGAACGAGAGGTGGTGAGAGGATAGTGATCACGGACTAAATATGAGACGAAATGAAAGTGAAAAAACAAGCATCGGTGAACTCTAAAAAAATGGAACAAGTAATGTACACCCGACATAGTTCTATGCTAGCAAAAGAGAACCATAGGTGTGGTACGGAAGGAGTACGATTGGTTTGAGTGGGTGGGTCGGTAGTCTAAGGATATAGGAGCTAGTTGTAGTTGTAGTTGTAGGAGGACAAAAAGTAGAATAGTTATGTGATTAGACATAATAGTATTTCAGCTAAACATCAATCAAACTTACAGCAAATTTACAGCTTTCCGTTCCACACAAGACCAAAAGGTATTTAATGTATGTGCCCGCACATGCACCTAGTGTGTCCACTGGGAAAATCAAATTCAAAATCAATTTTGGAATGGTATCCAATCCCATTTTCTCTTTATTACGGAGTACTTTGTAATATTCACCTAATCTCTTACTTCCTTGGTGCACAAATTAAGAGCCTCTTCCGTGATTCCGTTTTTTGGATTATTGGGTTTCTCAGCCAATTTTTTAATCAAAAATTTAACTTTTGATTTCGTGTCGAATGGTGTGATAATAAGAAAAAGTGAAGTTGAAGTTACTTTTGTGGCTGTATTAGCTGAAGTTGATGTAAATGATTATTTTAGCTATGTTTTCATATAATTTTTTCTGTATTTTACTAATAAATATATTCTAAATATAATTTTTTTCATAAATCAACAGAATCAGTCAATGCAGCTATTTCAGCTAGAACTTCATAAATTTCAGTAGAATCAGCCGATTTCAATGTTACCGAACGGGCTCTAAGTTTCACATTTCTTATTCGGGATATCCCAAAATGAACTTCTTACGTCAAGTTAAATCTGTATTTAATGCTACCTCCGACCTAAAATACGTAGCCAAATTCAAAAGTTTGACCAACTATATATTTATTTGAAAATATTTATAATATAAAAATGATATGAAAATGTTCTTTTGTTAAAAGTACTTTCATTAAATTACAAAAATTATACTATCTCCGTCCCATAAAATTCTTCCCACTTTGACTTGGCACAGAGATTAAGAAAGTGGAAATGTATGGTTGTGGATATGTAAGAAAAAGGTGAAATGAATGTGAACCACACAAATTGTCCAAAAATGGCAAGTGAGAAGATTTTTTGGGACGACACAAAAAGGAACGCGGGAAGAATTTTATGGGACGGAGAGAGTAACTTTCATAATATTATACTACTCAGTAACATGGTCCAAATTTTAAGTTTTGACTAAATATTTTGGGACAGAGGTAGTCAATTTTATTGCTCATTTACCATTTCCCCCTCACATACTTTTTTATTACTTTCAGATACCTTTTATTGAATTCATGTATGCTATCTCCATTTTACTATTCAGTCAGTAATACATCTTGGGTACCCATTTTACCTCAAAATTACCCTTTATTACACCCATTTAGTAGTACATCTTCTAAAAGACTAAGGGCAATTTAGGAAAGTCAGTTTTATTTTATATCCTACTTAAGAACTTGGAAGTCAAATAGGAAACTCGGAGCCTGTTTGGTAATACTCAAATAAGCTGAATTGACTCATTCTGATGAAATTTATGAAGTTCTAGCTGAAGTTGCTATATTAGATCATTCCGGTAATTTATGAAAAATTACATTTAAAATATATTTCATTATTCAAATAAAGAAAAAATAATATGATAAAACGGTCAAAATGATTATGAATAGTAAATCCAGCTAATACAGATAGAAAAATAACTTTAAACTTAGTTTTTTATTATTACATAACCCAACACATGAAATCAAAAGTTACGTGCTTGATGAAAAAGTCGATTGATAAGACTGATAAGTCTAAAAATACAACCACCAAGCGAGCTCTTAATTTTAGGACAGAGGAAGTTTATAAAAATAAAATATTTCAATGAATACTGTTCCCTCTCGAATGTTTGCCATTGTAGTGTGCCTTCCAACATAACTACATAAGTTGAGGATAAAGAATAGAAGAGATCGTAAGTCGAAAAATAAAAGGAGATAAATTAAGAATTTAAGATAATTATGTGATTTGAAGGAGGAAAGTGGAAATGAAGGCTCGGCCGCTCGGGTGAGGGATAGGGAATGACTATATGAAAGTATTTGGTTATATATTTATATTAAGTGGACTTTTTAATGCCTTCCAATAACACTTAGTTTATTGCAAATAAGTGTTTAAATTTATATAATAACTTCACTCATAATAATAATTTTTTTATAATAATAATAAAA